AACTGGCACGGCCACACCTCGCCACATTCCTCGTGTCGGTATCGAATAATCCTGGCCAAGGGTTTTGACCTATCTCAGGATCAGCGAGCATGGCCACGAGGACTGCCAGGTGAGTCCGGTTTCCATCCCGCCAAAAAAGAAGAAAATGGTAGGGCTGTTTAACCGATAGAGCCAGATCTCTAGATAGCTGGACACTACAGAACAACTTTTACAGCCGTTCTTACATTGCGGGTGACACCATTTCTTAAACAGACCAGGAAGGTAATGGCTAAAGATATATGACCGCAAACAATATACTTTTCCAATAAAAGAATTTACAAGAGACCAATCCGATATTTATCAGCCGCCGGGTGGTCGGCTCGATGCAATGCACTTGGGCGCTGGAGGGTTAGTTCACCCCGCTGAGATCTATAATGCTAAGAGAGCTGGAAACACTAAATTCACAGGGCAGGTAGTGCTGTATTTGAAAGCATTGCTGTCAAATTTTTAGAAACCGAAGTCATGACTTCCGGGTTAAAAATTGTCGAACAGTCAGACTACGGATCGGTGTCCAAAGTGGCCGCCTCAGGCCTCCTCACGCAACCAACGTTAACCTGCATGCACTTTCTAACCAAAACGTCACTAATGTTTACATCGCGTCGGTGACCCTAATTGAGCACGTTCGAAGTTGTTTTGGTATTTTGATTCCAAATTGGCGTAAAGGCACCGCAAGATGGCATGGTCATGAAAGCAAAAGATTGATCTGGTTCAATTTGGGTTAGTGACCTCCTCTGACCTTCATGAATTGAAAATAGCATGTCTGCTGAGGTTTCTGTGGTCAAGGAATTCTAAATGAACGTCAAGAACTACCCCATGAAGTAAGTCTTCGGTAACAAAGCTGTTTGATTTTGACCTTGAGCTGGCCTGCATATCTGATCAAAGGTCAATAGAATTAATCGTGATCCTATTTTCAGCTGTCTTATAACCTAACAATCCATCTGAAAAAGGACACGACTTCGTCTAACACTCCGTCATTGTAGCGAATTGAACACCCAAGCAATGGCCTTTGCTGTCAGCCACGGTCTGATAGTGATCTGCTAATGCTCAGTGCGATATCAGATAGGTAGAACTATTTTTTATTCCCACGCATCGGCAATTTCATTGCCTCGAGCTCGCGAAGTGTGGCGCGGCGAAGCCACTTCATTTCGGAATTATTCTGGAAAAACCTTCAGGTGAGGCTGAAACTGAACCCTCCCCACGCCCGCGGGCGTGTTGGTAAAGTTTACCCCATCGTAAAACGGCTCCCGAGCCTTGTTTCGCACGATCCAGCTTCTCAGATTTGGCTCTGCAGGTCAACCACCCTGTCAGTCATCTACCGGAACGACTAGTAGGCTCGAACGGAAGCCAGCGTTCTGGTCATGCTCGCTGATCCTGTGCTAAGGTCCGTCAGCAAGCGTTGGCTAGGATTTTTCGACGCCGACACCAGGAATGTCACGAGGTGTGCCCATACCAGTTGCCGGCCAGCAACCCTGATGCCATCAACTGCACCGATCTCATCGATCGGTCGAAAGAGTTCACCGCCGGGTGACCCCTTACCACGCCACGGAGCATCACAGAGGTGCAGACCGTGGGCCACAGACACCCTGTACTCAGTGCACACGCAGGCAAATTGACCTTCCAGAACGCGAGCGCGTCGCATCCAGCCGACCACCCGGCGGCTTATAAATCTCGGACCGGTCTCTTGTGAATCCGTGTACTGGAATAGTATACTGTTTGCGAAGTCATATATACTTAGCCATTACCTTCCCGGTCTGTTAAAGTATTGGTGTCACCCGCAATGTAAGAACGGCTGTAAAAGTTGTTCTGTAGTGTCCAGCTATCTAGAGATCTGGCTCTATCGGTTAAACAGCCCTACCATTTTCTTCTTTTTTGGCGGGATGGAAACCGGACTCACCTGGCAGTCCTCGTGGCCATGCTCGCTGATCCCGAGATAGGTAAAAAACCCTTGGCCAGGATTATTCGATACCGACACGAGGAATGTGGCGAGGTGTGGCCGTACCAGTTTCCCACCAGCGACCTTGATGCCATCAACTACACCCGTCTCATCGATTAGTCGAAAGAGTTCACAGCGGGGCCGCCACTCACCACGCCACTGAGCGTCACAGAGGTGCAGACCGGGGATCACACGACACCCCGTAACCAGTGCACACACAGGCCACCAGGCGAGCGAGTGCAGCTGATCACGCGGGCGGCGTCCGCAGTGCTGGGACGAGACACACCCCGAAGGCACATATGCACGACAATGCGACACCCGCAGAACGTGTCTCTGTATGAGTCAGAACATGACGTTCCCAATTGGTGTGTTGCCGTTTTGACGCACGCACAGCTGTTATCGCCCGGCATTACGGACATCACTGACGGCGTTTGGTTGGAATTGCATGGCCATCACTTTGAGCCCACATGTGACCAGCATTTAAATCATTCACACATTCACATCAGGTGACCGTTTTATACTCAACACTACCATCTTCAAAAAAGGATTGCTTAAATGTGGCACAGCCATGCCATGACTGTCACATCAACTTGACAAGATTGCTCTTTATTATTTAGTCACCTTTATTAAAACTTATTAACTTAAGCTTGAATATGTTATGAAGAAACAAAGCTAGTTCAAACACATTTTCCTGCATGTTTTCCTTGCCCCCTAGCATAGCTAAAACAGTATTTGTACATCCAGATCCTCTTTTTCTATCAGATGGAACATCCACCAGGCAGAAGACATTCAACAGGGAATCTTTCTTGGAGTGGCAAAGTCAATGTCATATTTGTGGGGCATGGATCTCCCCCAAACCATCTCCAACTGAGTCTCTCCATGATGTTACCCCTTGGTGCTCTGCATGTAGTTGGCATTCAGGCCTCAGTAGCTGGAAGTGCAGCAAAAAACATCATCTGTACAACATAAAGCCACATAAGTAAGCTATGTGTTCAAACAATATGCTGAGAACGTGATATCATATTTTCCAAGATGAGAAAACTGATTCATGCTTAAGTTTAGGGCCATGATGAAAAATGTGCAAAAGTGCATTTCAAAACAAAAGGGCATTTCAAAAGAGCTGAGCACCAACTATGAATGCAATTTTACAAATCTTCCAAAATTTGGCAATTTTATAATGGTGATGTACCCAACCATATCACTATTCATCTGAAATAATTTGTCATGACTTGTTCTTATTTATATTGCCACAGATAGAAGATGAATGTACAGAGGTGCAGTTCACAAAATTAGTTCAGAAAAGGGAGGGGCTAACCAGTGAAAAAAATTGTGCAACTTAGGCTCAAAATAACTACCAAAAATTATTTATCCCAGGTTTTTCCCACTTTTCTAACAGTAGGAAAGCAACTGAACCCAAAGTTGGGGGGAGCAGGGACCTCCATGCTGAAAAGGACAGAACTCCATGCAAGGACAGAACAATGTCCTTGCACAATATTTTTGGAAACCACTTCCATAGGTGCACGTGTTGGCATATAATATGCACTCCAGATCTTTCTTTAAGCATTTTCATGGATAAGGCATTCTCTTCACAATTTTGGGATCAAATTGTGACCAGGTCATGCACAGAGTGCACCATAAGTGCTTGGTAAGGCTTGTTAAGCAGCAAATAGTTCTAGAACAAAATGTCGTGTTTGGATTACTTCAGCCATCTATTTTGAGCCAAGTCTTATAGCTCATATTTTTTAGACTGCAATACATGTTGATAAATACAAATATTATGACTTTATTCTGTTCTGTTCATGTTCATGTTTTATTCATGTTCTGAGACAGATCTTGCAGATGACATGCTTGTTTTCTCTGCTGTATTTGTGTTAAACAAAAGCAAGGCTCATTATTGCCAGCAAAATTCAAGGCCTAAGCAAGCCACATTCCTGTAGCATTTCCTACATTCAGTTGCAGTTTTGTCAATTTTTGGACAAAATTGAACAACCATAATTAATTTTCAAATGGTTGGCCTGACTGAGCCCTTTGGAATATGTCTCTTAAAGTTTATCACTAGCATTCTAATCACTGAAATAATCTTTTGTATGCACTGAGATTAGTGATTAACATGCCTTGGCTTTGCTTTAGGCATGTGGATTCAGTATATATGCTCATAAGTCGTGGCTGAAATTGACCATATATGTTAAAATTAGCTGGTGTATTAGAATTTCTGCGAATAGATTGTATGAATTGCAAGTCTTCCTAAGATATCTATGCATATGCACACAGCAGGTCTCAATGTGCACAGCCGGGCAATGAATGCCGATAAATTTTGCAAGTTTGAGGAAAAAATCCACACTGCATCGCTGGTAGCTGAAGATTCCTGAACACGCTCTGTTACAAGGCGGGAGAGGAGGGAGCGCCGGCAGAATTTTGCATTCGATGGGCACGCTACATTCCACTATGTGGAGATCGCATGGAAAGAAGCTCTTTGGAGAAGCTTACACCTGGGATAAGGCGCAGAGAGACCAGGCCTAAAAAAACATGGTCACAAATTACCTATGGTGGTTTGCCTTCCCCCTCCACCAGCAGAACACCGCACCAGCAACAAACTTCTTCGCGGGCACCCCCTATCCCTCCGCGTTCCGCCCACAGTTTTACTGGAATGCCTGCGATCGCTCAGCGGCCTGAGAAAAAAAATATCAGGGAACAAGGTGACTGCCAAATTGCTACCAAACAAAGGTTTTTAAAATGCGGTGCTAAGACGCATCCCACAGATGCAAAAATACATCGTATTTTATGGCTTTTAGCGAGCAAAACTTAATTTTTTCAAATGCAAGTATATTTACTCCAACTGAGATATGAGAGAAAATGTCAATACGTAAGACTTAGGTACACCATCAAAATGTTCTATAAGACTAACCTAAAAATAAAAGTCCTCCTTCTGCTGATACGAAAACAGCGCTCGAAGCTCATATAAGGCGCAACAGGACCTCGCACTTTCGTGAGGTGGTTGACCACTGCGCGCCTGGGAAACCAGAGGTGCGGGGGTTCGATTCCCCGCGGTGCCCGCCGCTCCTGCCAGGGTGAGAGGCAGGCGACGCCGTATAGCCTCAGCAGCTGGGTGCGTCGTAAAGCCCCAATGACACACACACTTTGGCGAGGGCTGACGAATAACAATGTCGAGTGATGATTGTATGTGTGTGGGAGAGTCACAGTGAGATATTACATAAGAAAGCAGGCTGCTGACTGCTTTCCTGGATGATTTCCATTGCTGTGGCGGCAGATCCTTAATTTTCACCTCACCCAGCCCCATCTACATGAAATATGTGTTTGGTGCAAGCAAAATATGCTGTTTTAATAGGTCATAGTGCTCTTTTGTGATATGACCATTTATGATTGATAATGTGATTCAAAGAAATATCACAGTCTGAAAAAATGATTGTGTGTGCTGCATGCCTACACAGCTTCTGTGCCCTGAATCTTAACTGGGATATGCTGAACCTTGTGCTTGTGTGGGATGAGTGCAGACTAGGCCAGACTGTGTGAGTGTCAGATTAGTTTGGTGGAAAAAAGTGCTTTAAGTGCTCAGAACTCTCATTGCTCAGATATGTGGCTGCATGATATGACATTTTTTTGGATGCAGCTGTCATGATTGGCACATTCAGGCTACCATTTATTTTTTGCAGTCTGGGATGTACCTATGTACATAATCTGTAAGTGTGCTATAGTTTGTTATTTGTGTTACACATCTTGATTGTTCCTCCAGTCATGACATAAATCTCAGTTTAAATGTGGGCAGTATCTTTTAAAGGAACATTGCATGCATAACATATTTTCAACATCATTTTCAGATCTGAACACAGACCTGCCCTGATGAGAAAGTGGGCTGGGTGGTCAGGTTTTTACCAACATGCTGTCTCCTTTGGGCCCCTTGTCCAGGCACATATTTGAAAGCAGCATATCTACCTCTCTCTGGCTACAAAGTGCCTACAGAGCCATCTCCTTCCCTCCATGTGTCCCTGCTAGCAGTGCCATCATCCGCCCAATCACCTCATTTGTACCCCAGCATGAGGACGTCCCCTCCTCTGAGCTGATGGCGTTCGGGCATGAGCTGCGCCGGTACGCGCGCCTGACGGTGATCACGGGCGCGGGCGTGTCGACCGAGAGCGGCGTGCCCGACTACCGATCGGCCGGCGTCGGCCTGTACGCGCGCTCGGACCGCCGGCCGATCCAGTACCGCGACTTCGTCACTTCGGAGGCGGCGCGCCGCCGCTACTGGGCGCGCAACTTTGCCGGCTGGCCGCGCTTCTCTTCGGTGGCGCCCAACGCGGCGCACCTGGCGCTGGCTGACTGGCAGCGGCGCGGCCGGCTGTCGGCGCTCGTGACGCAAAACGTGGACGGCCTGCACGTGCGCGCTGACGGCGGCCCGCTGACGGAGCTGCACGGCTCGGCGCACCGCGTCCGCTGCCTGGCCTGCCCGCACACGGCCGGCCGCCACCAGTTTCAGCGCACGCTGGCCGACGGCAACCCGGGCCTGTCAGCTACGGCGATTGAGATGCGGCCGGACGGAGACGTGGAGCTGAGCGAGGTGCGTCCCGAGGCGGCATCCACCCGCCCGGAGATTCCGCTCGTGGAGTCAGCTATCCATCCGCTCACAGAACAAGCTGTCCGCTACCTGCGAGGGCTTATGTGTAAATGGAACACTTAGCCGCACTTTGGTAGTTGTTTATTGGAGCTTACGGGCGCGCCGTCTGCGGTGGTCATTTGGCGCCCATAACGAGTTTTGTTTTACCTAACTAATGAGCCGCGTAAATGGTCCCAAAGTTGATGTGCTTGAGAGGACATGAAGATCTGTTGAGATTCAAGAAATTGTGAGTTGTCTCTTGGCATATCACAGAGGGTAAGGGGCGAGTCATGCTGTCCAAAGTAACGTTGACGTTCTTCCACGAGGCGCAGACCTTCGGTAGTTGTAAGTGTTGTCAGGGGAGTGCAACGCGGACGCTTGCTGCTTGTTATGTGCACTATTGTCTTGGGCGCTTCGGTCCCCTGTCCTGTATTATACTTGATTTGCTGTTGACCCATTTGGGTGGCCCTGTAGGCCCGCTTCACGTGGACTGACCTCTACCTGGTCTGTCCGATCCAAGCCCTCAGATTTGCCGGTAGCCCAGGTTTCACATACTTAGACGTCGTTTGTCGCTGCCGAGACATGGTGTGCTCACATGCCAGTAATGACCTGACCCGACCCGTCTACCCTCCGGCGGTGACTTGACGCGACGCGTCCACCTGCCGGCGATAACCTGACCTGACCCGTCCGCCCGTTGGCAGTGACCTGACTCGACCCTGACCCGTCCGCTGGCGGTGACCTGACCCGACCCTGACCCGTCCGCCGCCCCACAGGAGATGGAACGCTCGTTCGTGGTGCCGGCCTGCCCCAGCTGCGGCGGCATGCTCATCCCCGACATCGTCTTCTTCGGCGACAGCGTGCCGCGCGAGCGCGTGCAGCACGTGCGCCAGCACGTTGAGGAGTGCGACGCGCTGCTGGTGGTCGGCTCGTCGCTGCAGGTATACTCGGCCTACCGGTTCGTGCTGCAGGCGGCGGAGCTGGGCCGCCCCGTGCTCATCCTCAACATCGGCCCCACGCGCGGTGATCGCCACGCTACGCTCAAGCTCAGCGCTCGTGCCGGTTTCGTGCTTCCCCGCCTGGATGTGTGACGTCACGCAGTGCTGCTCGGCGAGAGGTGTGCTGGAACGTGACATGCGGTCAGCTGCCTGCTCCTCTCGCGCCGCTGCCGCCGTAGTGACAGCCTGACCCGCTGTCACTGGACCGCGTGGTGCCGAGGGGTGGTCGGCAGTCATCTGTTGGCAACTCTCCAGCCGCCACGGCGCTGCGCTCGTCTGCAGCGCTCAAGTCGGTACCTGTCTAGCACAGTGAGACCAGTTGGCGTGGTTTTACTGAACACAACGACGGGTAATGGACGCAGTCTACGTAGGTCGAAGGTGGATAGCAGGCAGCGCTGGTGTATTTCACCAACGTTCTTGCCTGGTTATGCGTGATATCATTCGTATATCCTTTTAACGGTAGTGTATAATTAATTCAAGTAAGCTGTACCGAGTGGCGCATCCGTACCTGAGAGCAGTAGCGACTCGTGCGACTCTGCAGGCTGTGTACCTGGACAGCTCCGGTATGGTAGAACATGATGCCCACCTCCCGGCAGACGTACCACGACCAATCAAGGCCAGAACTTCGCTCGCTATTTCGCGTGCCAATGTATTAGGTCAAACAGCGTGCCCAAGGAATGATCGAAGCGAATTTCATTGCGCGACATCATGCCTCCCGCCCAACAGCAAAATGGACCCCCTTACCTATTGGCCTATTAGAGTGCATATCGTGCAATAACACGCACAGAATAAAATGTCGGATACCCACTAACGCTGAGGAAATTATTACCCAAATTATCACAAGTTCAAAGTGCCTTGGGCGACAAGAAATAGCGACCGATCGTACCGCACATAAAAACAATGGTAACAAATATCACGAAGCCGTCCGTTTCGATGCACATAAAGACAACGAACAGAACACCATAAGCTCATTTGAATATCCATCGCGTTTGGCAACCGCGACTGACATCACATGCTTAGAATAGACCCCAGCCACCCTGCACGCATCACCGCGGGTCCGCCGGCGACGGAGCCTGCAAACGCACGCTCAGATGTCACGTGCAGTGAAGTTACCGGCACGTCGCAGTCGAGAGGGTACCTGCAGCATCGCAGGGTGCAGGGTGTACCTGGGTGCAGCAGCATCGCGCCGGCTGGCATCACGCACACGCACAACGCGTGCGGGACCGGTGCCCGTCGCTCCTCAGAACTTCCACGTCGGCCTGGCGCCAACGAACCCCCGCATCACAAACACCCAAACACTGATACACAGGCAGAGGTGGCAGTGGGGATAGGCCGGCATCGCTTGACAGGCGCAGCGGCGGCGGAAGAGGCGACTCTGCGCCGGCGGTGACCGGCGAGCCCGCGGACCGCAGGCGGCGGCCGCTGTCGCTACTTGGACGGCAGGTAGCGTTTCTCGGCCTCCTCCAGCTCGGGGTCGTCCTGCAGCCGGAAGATTTCCTTCACCGGAGCCACCTGCCACCGGAGGAGCTGTCAGTGCGCTGCGCCCGCCACGGACCTGGACAGCGGGCTCGCAGGCGCGCTGGACGCGGCATTCCTTTGCGAATATTTAGCACGCTCGAAGCGTTTTGGACTTAGATCCATGGGATCTTTCCAAGCTGCATACTACAACTGCATTTGGCATACAAGCGATTCTCGATGAACCATTTTCACAAAGTGCTACATATGGCAAAAGACCAAATTTAATATAAACACAACATTAATCAAAGTTAAGTCAACACTTCACGAGATTTGGAACCAACGCAGTCAGCCATTAGACCTGATGGCGCTAGCGTTCGCGCAAGCACGAGGCGCGGATTACAGGCTGGCTGACCAGCAGCAGTAAGTCTCGCTCGCGTCAGGCTTCGCTGGCGGCCGCAAGACTGCCCGATGCCCACTCACGTCCGGCTCCACTTGCACCAGGCTCTGGCTTTGGAACACCAGCCGGCTGGTGCGCTGCATGGCAGTCACGGCTGCGCGCAGGTTGTGGTTGGCCCAGATCACCATGGAGACGCCCATGTCGCGGAACATGTCCGTCGGCGTTGTGTGGTACTTGGTCGGCACGATCACCACCGGGCCCTGCGGCGAAGCCGGCGAGGTCAGGCGAGCGGTACCACACGGAGGGTACCGCTGGACCCAGCAGCGGGAGGGTGAAGTTGGAGGGACGCGACGGACACTGCCAGACCGTGCAGAGGAGCTGAGGGTAGTCAGGCGTGCGCTAGGTCAGCGGCTCAGCCTCCTCCGCATAAGGCCAGCGCCGCCTCAACCACGTGCTGGTGGACGGACGGTGCTGGTTCACGGACCACATGGCTCGTGAACCGTACACAATCGTGAAGCACGGAAGCAACGCCAGAAGTCCATACCAACGTGACATTTGGCTAAATACGGTTGTCCCCGGACAGCGTGTTGAATTAGGCGACAACTTCTGGAGAATTGTTGCAATCCTTTCCAAAAGCCGTACCAGTGCCGAAACCGACAATGTTCCGTCCGCACCAGATGCGACATAGCGGCTGGGTGTCCGGCACCCAGCGCTCACCTGACCTTTACTGGTGGCCAGGCTGGGGGATCGGCAGGCTCGAGCCTGTCCACTCCAGCCACACATGGCCCCACACTCCAGAGGGTCTCTGCTCGTCGGAGCCGGGCCGACGCTCACCTGGTCGTTCCAGGCGCGCATGAACGCCTCTATCTCTGCCGGGTCCGCGCGTCGGCTGTGAACGAGCACGGCGTCGGCGCCGGCCGCGCGGTACGCCTCGGCCCGGCGCAGCGCCTCGTCCAGGCCCCAGCCGGCGATGAACGCCTCCACGCGCGCCACCACGCAGAAGTCCGGGTCCGATTGATGCTCCTTGCACGCCTGGAGGGCGCACCAGCGGAGCAGCGGCGACAGTCAGGGGACGGGAACGGCGCTCCAGCGGACCAGCGGGGCTGTGACAAGTGGGGGACGCGAACGGCGCTTTGCACACGCCTGCTGGCCGGACCAAAGGAGCAGTGGCGACAGTCTCGATACATTTTCGAGTGTTAGCAACGGCGGTGAGACCTGCAGTTAGCTCCTCTGGCCCGCTGTGACGACGTACGTGTTAAAGTTGTGGGTAAGGCACAGTATGCGGTGCCGACCAGGTTGTCCGCGCTGAGATACCCTAGTGTTCTCACCAGATCCGATGCATGGACAGATTTTTGCCACAAAAGAACACTTTCTTTCCAAAACACACCAAAAAACACTTTTGCTGAGCAATTGATTTGCTCGATGCGAGTTGGGTTCTTTTTCGTACCGCTACCACAAACTGAGATCCAATAACGGGCATGTGGTTGGACCCGGGCATCGACCAGTGCAGAGATTATGGCGGGTGGAAAGCATCATGCTGTTCATATCTGCTCCCCGCTTTATAATAGCGTGACAAAATAGGTTTAAAGCAAAAAGCGACAGCGAGCTTCATGGCTGTCTGCTTCTGGTGAAACAAACATGTCATTCAGTCACCCACATGGTACCCCAGAGACCGCAGTGTAGTCATCAGAATTTGATCTGTGGGGAACTGAATGCAACAATGCAAAGCAAACCGCACCTACTTTGCTTACAAAGCGAACCTACTTTGCGGACGAGGACGTCAAAGCCACTGGGGTGCCGGTAGTGTAGTCGTTAACGCGTCTGCGTTCACCACTGCACGACTGGGAAACCAGATGTACGGGGTTCGATTCCCCACGGTGCCCGCCCTTCCTGCCAGGGTGAGAGGCAGGCGACGCCATATAGCCTCAGCAGCTGAGTGCGTCGTAAAGCCCCAATGACATGACATGACGTTAAAGCAACTAACGCAATGTTTTTAAGGAAAACTAAAACTACTCAAGCATTATGTGCTAACATGGGCAAATTCTTAGACTTCGGTCCATTTTTGAGCAACTTAAATCTGAGTCGAGAATAAGCCAGCTGAGTTTGAGTAAACGGCAGGGTAGAGTAGACGTTGGCTTATCAAATACCGTAGTCACCAACAAGAGCTTCCCTTCTGTCGGCCTTATCCCACCGACGACGGAAAAGGCCGCATCAGGTCACATGCTGGCCCAACAGAAGCCTGAAAGACACGTATGAGGCGCTACATGTCGGGGGCACGCGCCAGGACGGACACCAGCGTCCGTGGCGGAGACGCAGGACTCAAAGCTCCATGTACATGCAAACCAAGTACATTGAGCAGGAGACCACAACGAGCTCAACACACAACATAACGGCATGCGTGTGCTATACAGTCTGCTCGAGGGAGAGGGATGTTGGCAACAACAAAAAAAACGCTAGAAGCCGCGAAATTAGGCGAAGCATTACAGCCAACAGCGAGCTGAACCACGGCAGCATTCGTTACTGCCTAGAGCTGTGCGCTTCCCCGCCCCACACGACACTGAGCTGCCGGTCGCCACGGCAGCGTGCCGACGCACCTTGATTTTACGCGCGAACTCGTCCACGTCCGCCAGCGGCTGGCGCCGCTCGTCGTGGAGCGAGTTGGTCTTGGGGAACAGCTTGTCCTCCAGGCAGCAGCCTGCCGAGACCCGAGGCACCACAGCAGGCGACCAGGTCAGACGTCAGGTGAGACTGGTGAAGGCACACCACACGTGGCAAAAAGCCGAGAGAAGTGTGGTGTTTGTAGCAGATGTGAGCTGGTAACATCTGGAATGCCATGTCATCGACATGTATTGCAGCACGTTTTATCATCTTGGCACACACCCACACACCACCATACAACACAAGCATAGGAACACTTGTAAGCATGGTATGAAGTCATGGGGACAAAACCAGGCTTCTGGCCCCCAAACAGAGGTCAAGCCTGAGGCCAAAACATTGACAAACAGCTCAAGTCGAAGCCAAAGCCGGAAACTCCAAAGATTACGACTGCGAGGTCGAAGCTAGTAGCTTCCAACTTTGTACACCTAAAGTCGAAGCCGAACCCCGCGGTTTCGGACCAGGAAATCGTCTGGCCAAGTCAAGCCAAGACCATCAGTTCCAAATGGCAAGGCCGAAGCCGGAGCTGAATGTTATGGGAAAGTGTTTTTTTTTTTCTAACAACACTGGGTCTGCTGAAATCGTATGGGATCAGGATGAAGAATGGCTTTACGGAATGTTGGGAAGACAAGGTGTTGGCATCACGAATCGGAGAAGTTTCGGACTATCGCCCTCATTTTAGGTGTTAATATTCACGTAGCTTTCGGAGTTATCTCTCCGGCCGTCGCCACGGGAGCAGTGGTCCTGAAAATGACCTGCCGTTTCGCCTTTTAGCCAGGCATGCCTCGCGGCCTTGAATAGTCGCATATTGTACCTTGGGATAACGGACAAGCTGGAGTGTACAAACTGGCGACAATGCTTTGCGAAGCGAAGCCACAATTGCAGTGGACTGAATCACCCTCACAGAGCCAAAGCCAACAGTTTAAGTTCGCATGCAGCAGAAGCCGACGCCAGGTGTAAAACATTACGGAACCCTAAGCAAAAGCTGAAGCCATCTGTGGACAATGGTACAAAGCTCCAGCCGAGGCCAACCATGGAAAATGGCTGCAATGCGGTGCAGAATTCGAAGCCAGTGGAGGAAAGCTGCAGTTCCGCGAAGCCGAGGTCGAAGCCAGCTTCGCCCATGCTTGGTATGGGGACATCAGATGGCAGCAGTTATGATGCTATTTCCAACAAAGATTCAGAAACCTGAGAACATTCAACCATCATGAATACGTCCGAGGATTTTCGCGCATGCCTTACACAAAATGAGGGCTTTCTTAACATATCCTGAATGATCTACATGGGTGGCTGTGGGTTCAGAGTACCTATCGCACACAGTTTGTTGTGTATACCTGGGGGCCATCACCCAAGTTGAGCCATTCAATCCAACGGACGGTGGTGCCTCCACTCCTTCACCAGACAGGAAAGCGGAAGGTTCCATGTGCCATACAATGCTGTGACAAAGACACCGGGGCCGATCGCCATCAAGACTAGCCCTGGGCAAGGTCACTGACCCGCCACGCCGCGCTGCTCCAGCTTGTGCACCAGCCGGCGGGCGTTGTTGAAGTTGCCGTAGCCAGTGTCAGCATCCAGCAGGATCGGGACACTGGTGACATCTGACATGAACTCTGTCACCTCCACCACCTGCAAATAATGCCAGCTCACAGTGCTGGTTCCTGCCTGACCCATGGAGCGATGCACGAAGGGGAGGGTTAAGACCGATTGCGAAATGGCTGTGACCATGCTCTTGTTTCCTCTAGTTTAGATGTCTCCAGGGAAGTTTGCCCCCACATGCTGCTAAATGTGTGCTGTGATGGCACCTTTTCAATGTTTTCTGCAGCCAGTGGCATTACAGCATGACATGTCAGCACAATTGAGGACACCATGGCCAAGGAAACTTGGTGGTCATAACTCACAAAATGCAGTGATCTCTGATTATTTCATTCCTTGTCTAGATGACGATAAGGGTAGACTTAAATGGATTAATCTGAGGCTACAACATTGATCATGATTCATCAGTTCTACAGAGTTTGTTTTATGATGAAATGAGCAGGCTTATGAGCCTGATATTGTTGTCAGAAAAAAAGCAGATAGAATACCACCAATAAGCTTTCCACATATAAGCCCCAGATAAATCTAAGGTAGAGCACTTACCTGAGTCCATGAGGCCTCATTACTGTCCCGCACACCCAGCTGGGCAGAAATGGACAGGCCACTGCCCCAGATGCCCTTGAAACCTGCAGAATGCAGCACAACATCCCAAACACTTTCCAGACCAACACTTCACTTGGGAAGCAAGCAGAGCACACATGTGAAATTTAGTGCACTCATCATCAGTTGGCAGGCATGGACATTAAGAATGCTACAAGCCAAGAGATAGCAAAGGCAGGGAAAAGAAAACTAAGAAGCATTTCTTAAGATTCTGTGCATTAAAACACCCAAAACTTTACCTCTGGGCTCTGATTTAGCAAACCTTTGTAAAACACATAAGCATTAGGCATAGGATTGTCATTTGCATATCCACCATGTTGTAAATGTACCTGCTTCTTCCACAATCTTGGCACTTATTCCATTGTGAGCCTCCATGATGAACTCCAAGTGATCTGACTCCAACATTTTCTTCAACTGTGTTGTCTTTCTTGGAGCACTATGACACAGCCTTAATAAAATGGGCCATTTTGGCAAAGCTTGACATATTGCTGGTGAAATCATCATCTTGCTGCAAGATGGGAAAACAGAGGGACACATGAGGCACTTTTCAACTAGCCATGGTTTCAAAGATATTCAAGCTTATGCCCAAGTGAGTGCCATAGGATTGGTGCATGGTTGCCTCTTATTTTGGTGCATGGGTAGCCTACATGTCAAGGGGTTGGTATGTTGCAATAAGTATTGTAAGCATAGTTATGTTTTCCAACTTAAATCAATTCAAAAATCAACTGAACACCTAAATGTATTTTAGCCCAGCCTGAGTTTGATACACACACTTAGTATATTTCTAGTATATGGCTGTAAGCCAGGCCCCTTAATTAGGAATTCATGTAGTGAATGGGGTTATTGTAGACTGGACAGTGGACATGGCAACTGATCACAGAGGTACAAAAGCTGAAGACAGCCTGTTGTAGCAGGGTGATTTGCTGTTTAAAATTCCTACAATGGGTGTAGGTGTACCTTCCTACCTAACGTTAGAAAAAATCATTGCACACCATTCGTCGTGTTCAAGGCGGCACATATCGTAAATAATCTGAAAACAGGTAGAATCATGTTCCTACCTTCGAATTTCAATAACTTCGATGGCGGGCTCCCGAGCGCCGCGCGCACCGCACCGCCTGACCAGGCTATTTCAATCGAGGTAGAACCGTCCGGTCCAAACAGTTGGCAAACATAGAGCTTGCTTGCGGAAAAGAGGGTAGCTAAGCTTGGAAGAAAAAGCCTGCCATGACGGGTCAATTATACCATTTTGATGAAGTCAGTGGCCACAGGCCCTGCCCGTTAGCCAGTGAATGTTACACAACCCGTTAGTTTTGAATAGGGGCATGTCTTGGTTGGCGTCGGTGGCGTTCCCGTGACTTAGAAGAATTACTCCGTCATTTCGCTATTCGCACAAACATTTCTGGAATGAGCAGTGAGTCATGGAACAGTATTAGTTTTATTAAGCTCATCAGAATGTACGATTTTGAAGTATGATTGACTATAACACGGCGGTTATATGTCATGCGGCGTTTGTGGCGTATTGCATTCAATGACCAGGCTTGTCCTCGGATAGCCTTAGGCTTGTCTGTGCCATTTGTGCCTAGTGGCAGAGTTGAACAGCTCAGCTTGCATAATTTACTTTGCCTATAGGTATGAGTATATGAACATTTGCAATATTGATTTGTTATAGCTCTCGCTCTTCTTATCACAGTGATGTGAGTGCAGTAAGGTAAGTACAGTAAAACCCTATGATATTGGCTTTATCATGCTACTGTCAAGTGTTTCGTTACATCAGGGCTTGTACACATATGCATAATAAAATGTCCACAGACTGAGCATTTTAAATGCTACCAATTGTTCAAGACAAACTGCTCAGATCTCTCGTACGAGGCGTAGTCATGGCAACTGGCCACAACCCACTGATATAAAGCGCCAAGCAACTGCGACACGCGATGCGCTACAAACGCCGCATGACGTTTAACCCCTAGTTACGTACACCCCACAGAAGAATATAAAATTCTGACGAGGTCAAGCTATTCCGAGATTCAATCTCCCTTCCAGAATTGTGTTTGCATGAAAAAACCGGGGACCACTCACTCAGAGTCCAACCGGGAAGCGCCAGCCGCACGCCCCCAAAATATACTCACCATTCAAACTAGTGGGTTGTGTAGCAGTCAGCTGGCTAACTGAGAGGCTTCCGTGCCACTGACGTCATCAAATATGGTATACTTGATGTCATGCAGGCTTTGCTGCCGGACTACCTGCATTCTCACGCAAGCTCGACGTTGCCACTTTTTGATAGTTTGATATTCACATCCCAGCTGCCACCTATTTACATCCCAGCAGCGGTGTAGGTTTACTTTCCTACCTAACGTTAGAAAAAATCATTGCACACCATTCGTCGTGTTTAAGGCGGCACATATCGTAAATAATCTCACAACAGAATCATGCTCCTACCTTGGAATTTCAACAACCTCGATGGCGGGCTCCCGGGCGCCGCGTGCACCGCACCGCCTGGACTCCCCAGCGCCGTTTCTGCGTTGCCGTTGCGTAAATACCATATTTCTGCTTACCAAGAACTCTACAAAATGTACGGGACCAAGGTAAACCATTTGTCGTGTTTAAGGTGGAGCATATCGCAAATAATTTCAAAACAGAAAGAATCATGCTCCTACCCTCGAATTCCAATAAATACGATAGCGAGCTTCCGAGCGCCGCACACACCGCACCGCACCGCCTCGACTCCCAAGCGCCGTTTCTGCGTTGTCGCGAAAGCACAATATTTCTGCTTATTAAGAACCATAAAACATGTACGGGACCAAGGTAACAATAATAAAGCAACCAAAATCGTTTCTTATCGAGTTTAGGTACAATTATGAAACACACAGGCCAGAATAGTTCAGAACATATCCTAAACTAGCCTAACCTGACCTAACCTAACCTAACCTAACCTAACCTAACCTAACCTAACCTAACCTAACCTAACCTAACCTAACCTAACCTAACCTAACCTAACCCAACTCTAAAATGAAAAGTCGGGAAGCATGTGATTGTGCTTATTAGCACAACTCACCTAGGTGAACCCATGCTGACGTCCGCAATTTCCCTTTAAGAAGAAAACCTAGCTTCAAAAATGCGCCCATCAGTTTTTTAAGTCAGTTGAAGTTTGGACACCTTGCAAGGTTATCCGAGCGAACGTCGTATATATTCTTTGCGAAGCATCATAAGCAAGATGGCACAAAGTGAGCGATGTGGTGTATGACAATCACGCCGCATCCAAAATGGATATGTCACCGGTGCGTATAAACACAGGATACCACACACAGCTCCCTCCGGTCTGGAAGAGAACGTCGAACTGTGATGACCATTTCCAAGATTCTTTCCTAACGAGGTAAAGTTCCTTCGCACAGAGCGTGGGTCAAAACCATTCCTTCTATCCGAGGCCTCTGCGAGAGAGGACACAAGTGACAGCACGGTAGCCTTCCATCGGCGCAGCAGACGGCAAGGGAATCGGTAGAGGACGCCACCGGCGCACGGCAACGGCAAGGGAATCGGCAGAAGGTAGGACACCCCACCGGCGTGGTAGCATGTGTGGCGCACGGTTCCGCCCGTCGGCATCCTTGACCGATGCATGCCAGTGGCCGCCTGCGTCTGCCTTACGACGCACCGTTGACGGCCGGTGAGCCTCCAACACACCGCAGCCCCCAGCGACAGGGAAGGGGGGGGGGGGGGGTTAAGGGCGTACCTGCGGTTATGTAAAGGACTGTGGGTGGGGCGTGCGCCATTTACCACCATGAAACTTCTGACTGTGCTGTGCGCGTGCGCGCTGGTCGCCCACCTCGGTGCAAAGTGCGCGGCGTCCTTTTCGGACCAGCTGGTCGCCGGCCCAGCCTACCGGTACCGCCGCTTTCCGAACCATGGTGCAGCCGGACCAGATCAAGCTGCAGAAATCGCTGGGCATCAAGTGATGGCGCAGCATGATGTGGAGCGCTCCCTTCCGCTCGCCGGTGAGCAGCTGGGGTCAGCAACGACGTCCCCCCGCTGGACATGGCCGGGGCCCGGCTGGGCTGCGCGGACGGATAGCTGGATGGTGCAGATTTGGCGTCAGCATGCCATTTGCAGTAATGGTTTTTCAGGGCGAGAATAAGACACTAGAAGTTTCGGAACTATAGAGGTTTCAAACGCTAACTTTTACCATGTTTGCCATGCTTTCTGTTTCCTGCCTAACTGTGCACAGGACCCATGTGTGTTTGGGCCATCTCGTTTTTGAACCAAGCGTACCCCGCTTTCGCCCACTGACTGGAGCACGCCACCCCCTCGTCCTTCCAGTGGAAGGTGGCCTTCGACGGCACGAAGAGTGGCACTTTCTCTCACACCTACGGCATCATCTCACCTGAGGGAAAGGCCTTCGCCGGCACTGGACTGTGGGACCAGAACACCGCCTTCGACATCATGCCCATCTGGCATCACGGGGCGGCCGTCAAGGTGAGGCAGGCAGCGGGGTCAAACGGAGAAGCCTGCACTTCCCTACAGGCATCGCCTCCACCGGTGCAGAACAAGAGACGTCATCGATTTCGACGGTCGCTGTCAGGGCGGTTTCAGGCCACTTACTGAAATAGTCCGCCATTGTTAAGGCGTATATGACGGATGGAGGTGCGCCGGGGATCAGACCAACGATGTCGAGTCCCGGTTTGACCCATGGCCGGTCGGGAAGTTCGACCGGTTGCAGCGGCGCAGGACGCGCCTGCTGTACCAGCACGGCATCCTTGGCGTGGCAGGCCGGGCAGCCAGCCACCAGTTTTGCGGCGGCCTTCGCCGTCCCGGGCCACCTGGCCAGCTTACGCAGGAACTGTTTCGTGCACGCCGTCGTGCTCGCGGTAGGCCAGCTCGGAGTACTTGGCGCGCAGGGCGGCCGGGACGACGGCGCGGTCCGGACCCCGCAGCAGGATGCCGTTTTCACGGACCTGCAGCTCGTGCCGCACGCCGTAGAAGTCGCGTGTCTGCGGCGTATGATATCTTCTCAAAGTTCAGTGCGATGCTTCCATCACGATCCAGACATGTGATGAGAAAGTAAAGCGACACGCATGCTGAAATGGATAATTTATTTGTGGCGATCCGTATAACACCGCACTGGGTATGTCACAGTCATTTCAGAAGCAGGCAAAGTGACGGCCCTGCAGTCAGTCTGTATATCGTCTAGGCTCGTCACTTCCTCGTTTCCCGACTCCGTTCCTCCGGGAGCTCCAAAAACATTTGCTGGCCTGCGCCTTAGTTGGGTATTAAATGACGGATGAGCCGCCAGTTCGAAAGTGAGAGGAAAGCGAGCTATCGGTACTTTAGTCCACGCGCCTGGTCTTGAACCCCCGCATGAAAATGTGTAGACAGCGAGACCAGGGGTATGTCTGATTTCAGGATAACTTTGAAATAAAGGTGACCACTTACGAGCGACTCGGGTATTTCACCGAGGCAGCCCAGGTAATTCCCATACAAGTGATGTATGTCAGTGGTGTGTAACTGCTTGTCTAAGGCATTGACATAGACAAGGTGTACACCGCACGCGGGCATTCGCAACGATCTCGTCTTCACGGTACCCATATGACACTATGACACTGTGACGCTGTGACCCTGTGACGTTGTGACGCTCTGACGCTGTGACGCGCCCGAAACGCATTCGAATACGGATGTGTGTAACCAGAGAAACACGACTTGGCGTCTGAATCCGCCAGCGTATCCGTCGGCAACATCCTCCTTAGTGATGCTCTCACACCAGACAAACACGGCAAAGACCACCTGACAACTACCACCCCGAGCGCGGCAGGTAGCATGCCGTCACACGCCCCAGCCGGCAGAGCCGAAGATCGCGCCACCAGCACGGAATATCGGCTGACGGCACGGCTCAACAATCAGCTGGTGCCGGCCGTGATGCCTTTGGCGCCGCGCGTCATCAGCTCGTACTGGTACAGGAACACGTCGGCGTCGAACTGGAGCCGCTCCAGGTCCCGTGGCTTGATGCGGCGCTGGCCGGGTCGCCGGGCGCGCGGCCCGCCCGGCCGTGAGCAGGCGGTAGAGGCGGCCGGCCGCGGCGGCGCCCGCTCCCCGGGCTGAGGCTGGGTGGCCGCCTGAGGACGGGCGCAGCGGTGACTGGCGGCGTGAGGCGGCGGCGGCAGAGATGACGGTGGACGCGGACACGCCGGTCGCCAGGAGGCCTGCACTCGCGCGTGCTAACAGCGCATAACTACGGCATAGGAGAGGGGCCGGCATACCACGCATATTTGTCAGCATGAACATGCCGATAGTGAACCTGATTGCAGATGCAAGCCTTGTGGTACCTTTACCATCACACCAGGCTGGTATAACATGCAAAGATCATCCCAGCACCTGTCCACCTAATGCAACAATAAAGTTGGAGTTCACGTTTCGCACGTCTCAAATCGATGATCGGTGCTCCAGGACAGGTGATTGGCGGACGAGTCGCGTCCGATTATTACCCACCGCGCGCGCCCGGTCGCGACTTCTGAAGGCCGCCTGGCCGGCCGGCACGGTGGCCAGCTGGGTGATCCAGGGGTCACGCTAGCGCCCCCGCCGCCGTTCGGCGTGTGACGGCGTTCGGGTCGAGAAGCGATGAGATGAAACGCTGAGCTTCCTCGGAGACGGTCGACCAGGCCTGTGGGCATCGGGCCGCCGGTTACTGGGGGGTCGAGGGTGGTGCGCTGTTGGGCCCGTCTGACGGAGCTTGACCACGGCTACAAACCGGACTGTGGAATGTGAGGGCATCAAAGCCAGGGATGGGACTTCCAGACGTGTGTGGGGCTCCAGCCTCCCAATAGTTCTGAGCCTCATTGTGAGATTGTTTCGGCGACCATTGAAAGTAACTGACATCCTGACACACAGGGTCGCATCCAGAGGGACGGGAAGGGGCGGAGAATCAGCCCACCTTAGGCCTGGTTTCTTACTTTTGCACCACGGACGGCTCTTTTGGTTGTCTTATGATGGGCATTCACTGAGCCCTCGCCCCCCCCCCCCCCCCCCAACCACACTTAGAAAATTATGGCTGCGGTCCTCCTGACGTGGATGTGGTTACGACAGCAGAACTGTAAGCCCAAGCATAGACGCAGTCTTGCCAACAATAATATACATTATTTCTGGCTCTGTTGGAGTCTAAAACAGGCGTACGTATGAAGTGGTGCATGAAATAATCTGAACCACCGCTTTAAGTTTCCTCGCGCACCATGAATGTGAAGCTAGCAGAGTGTTATATTTATATTCGGAGGGAATTGGAGAACTTCATGGGTTTGGTAAATCATACGGGTATCGGTATGGAACGAGTAACGGGCTGGGTTGGGCACATATTTTGCGAAAATAAGGGGCATGTGTGCACGCGTGGCTTAGAACATTACAGCACATTCGGTACACACTCCATGAAATAAACATAATGTTTCTGCTTGAATTTTTTCAGTCACAGCTAGCCCTAACCACACGTTGTTTGCAATTGTCAACAAAAAAGGCTAATTTGTGTGCGAGGGTTCTTGAAACTCCTCCACGATTTCGAACAAAAGGTGCTGGAAAAGCGCAGACAGTGCGTAATTGGTGGGTATGACTGAATAGGAATGCGTAACGTGTGTACATGGGCAAAGTGTCATGGGTGGCGGGTAGAACGGATGCAGCGGCATGGGTAGCAGGTGTACATGGGCACAGCGACGTGGATAACTTGCAGAATGGATGCAGTGCCATGGGTAGCAGGTGTACATGGATACAGTGTCATGGGTTGAATGGGTGAAGGAAATTTTTGTCATGAAGACCTATAGCAGAAGACTGACGCCTTCGGTTTCGAGCCCGCATGGCACACAACTCAGCAAAAAGTTCAAACAAAGCAGTTGCACGAACAGTACGACGCCCATGGAAGAAGACCAAATATTGATCTCGAAGTAAGGACGGGGAGCGCATGGCATACTCAAGTGTCATTCAAGTTTGCCCAATGCAACAAATTCAAGAATACAGTTTTAGGTTTTAAGTTTGTGTGTCACATGTCGAATGCGTATCGTTTTATCATTAGCGGTAAAGGTTTGCTGCAAGAACACTGTCAGTCTGCGTCTCAACGCATCATCACACTACCGTAGACGCAGGCTTTACAGATACCGCTCTGATGCATTAAACTGATTTCACACAAAATAATGCAATGGACTGCTTTGTTTATGATGGGCGTGTCAAGAAGGCAATTTATTCAGCGTTTTTTTTTCAGCGACGAGTTCCGGTTGCTTTATAAACACGTCGGATGATCAGCTATGGCACGAGAACATCGAAAGTGACGTTTATTTTGCAATACCGTGTGACTTTCAAGGTCAAAAGCAAGGTCATATGACGGGGAACTCCATATTACCAAAAACTTAACAGCCGATTTCAAATTGGCAGGCCTTAAATTATTATGTATTCACCACAAAAGTAACCAGCGCCAGTCAAAAACATCTGACCACTCAAAATACCTTTGAAGGCCAATTCACGTTTAGAGAACAGAGAGCTCCATATCACTAAAAGCAGAAAAATTACCTCCATTCGACATTTTTTAAGCATCATAATATTCGCCAGCGCATGGATTTGCACCCGCCAAAAACTTTCTGACCTCTCAAGGTCACCCTTCAAGATCAAACTCGGGCACAAAAAGGGGAACTCAATAGCACCAAAACATTGCAGGCGAATATCAACCTTTCAAACGCTGAAATATTCAAACCCCAATAACTAGCGTCCGCCAAAAGGTTCTGACCTCTCAAGGTTAACCTTCATGGTCCAACCACGGCTCAAACGACGTCGAACTCTACATCCCCCTAAAATAACGTCCGTCAAAAATTCTTCACTTCTCAAGGCGATCCTTCAAGGTCAAAGTAATGTTCCAGTGGCCCGCAACTCCATTGTCTGCCGATTTCAGCATTCAAGCATCACAATATTCACCAGTGCAGGAACGGGTGTGTCAAAAAGTCCTGAACTCTGCAGATCAGGAAAGGATTGGAAGAAAAGTGACCTTTAGAGGTCAAGACATTTTGACGAACCCTAGTCCATGCACCAGTTAACATTCTGGTGCTTGAACAGTTGCATTCGGTCGGTACTTTTTTGGTGTTTTGGAGTTTCCTGTCATTTAAACCTCACTCTGACCTTGAAGGGCAGCCCCGAGAGGTCAGGACATCTTGACAGACGCTAGGTCATGCGCTAGTGAGTATTCTGATCCTTAAAAGGTTAAAACCGGCCAATAATGTTTTGGCGATACGGAGTTCCCTGTCCTTCCAGCCTGAATTATGTTTAGAAGGGTGGCCATGATAAATCAGGAGTTTTTGATGGGTGCTAATTCGTTTTCTAGTAAATATTCTGATGCTTGAACATTTGAAACCGGCCGGATTGTTGTGACATGGAGGCCCCCGTCATTTGAGCTTCGCTTGACCTTGGAATTTGACCTTGAGGGTTGAGGACTTTTTGACAGACGCTGGTTCCTTCTGTGGTGAAGATCCTGGTGCTTGTAAATTTAAATTGGCCGATAATGTGTTGGTGATATGGAGTTCCCCGTTATTTAAGCCAGAATTTACGTTCAAAGGTGACTTTGAGAGGTCAGAACTTCTTGTCGGATGCTTCTTCCTTTTGACGTGAATACTAATCTTCTTGAAAATTTGAAAGCAGCAAGCAATTTTTGGTGATGTGGCGTTCCCCTACCCTGACCTTGTTTTAATTGTGTAGGTCACATGCTATTAGAAAATAAGTGCAACATTTTTCTGTTCTCGTGCGATAACTGACCAGCTGACGTGTTTCCAGACAAATAAGAAGTTGTCGCTGAATAAATCCTTGAATAAATTGCCCGTTCCACGGATATGTGCCACGACAAGGGGCGTAGTTTCGCACCACGAGCTGGCGCGAGGTGGGAGTGGGAGTGGGTCAGGGTTGGGGAAAACTAAACGGTGGAAAGTTACGTAACCCCTCCCTTCCCCCCAAGCCGCCTCCGTGGTCTAGGGGAAAAATGCTAGACTCGTAATCCAGCGACACTGGGTACGAGTCCCAGAGCGGGTGCATCGTTTCGCCCGACTGAAATGGAAAGGTCAGCTGGCAACTGGCCAGCGAGGGTCAACCCTGGCCCGGGGCGGCCGTGTCGCAGCCTTGTGCGGCACGTAAAACCTTCCACAGTCCTGTCTGGCGCAAGGGCGGAGGCAAAATTATCCGTTGAACTGGACGGTACGACTTGGGTGGTGGGTTCAGGGTACATGCAACAAGCTATGCTTAGCAGGTACTATGAACCCAGCGCCACCCACACAAACCATTCGGAATAAATTTATAGATAAAAATAAAATAATAATATACGCCGACAAACGGATTTTTAATGCATTTAGCCCACTTTTTTCTTAAAGTTAGGAGGGCCGTAGCCCCATGGCAGGGGCCATTTTAACTGAATAGGAAACTACACCCCTGGACACATCAGTGCGACTGCCCCCCCCCCCCTCCCCCCCACCCCGAAAATGAACTTGATCCTGATAACATCAGTATGACTCACCTCCCCCTCAAAGCTGGGCATGGACCTCATAACATCATGCTGTCAATGTGACTCACCTCCCCCTCGAAACTGAACTTGGCCCTCATGATCAGCTTGTACAGTCGAAGACGACTTGAGTTCTCGAAGGGAAAGGTGCCACTGAGCATGATGAAGGTCATGACTCCGATTGCCCACATATCCACGGAGCATGTGTACGGCCGCCTGGTAACCACCTCGGGCGCAATGTACTCTGGAGTACCACATGGAGTATACATGTAGATGTCGTCTTCCCTTTGCCGGGCGGCCGCCAGCCCGAAGTCCGTAATGAGAACCTGAAGTTCCAGATACAGGCGATAGATGTCAGGCTCACGCATTTTATCATTCGTGATCATATCTATTGATCATATCGATCCTGCTCATCCTATTTAGCTAAATGGTGCTCGCCGGACATCGCAGCGGACGAGTGTGTGATCAGGACAAATATAGCGTCTGAAAAGCCATGTCGTTCACTGATTAAAAATGCAAAGGTGTGATCGAACCCGGAGTTCCGCTATGAATATCAAATGATACGAGCAGAACAGTGGGCCGTGAGCGTGGCATTAATACATCGCTCCACGCTCCTCGACCGTACATCAAGGCTTCAGCCATTCTGACTGCTTGGCAGTTTGCGCCCCACGGACCAGGTATCAGCCAATCACGATAAACTTGGTCTTCCGCGCTACATTTTCAGTTCAGCACCACTGCCGCACATCCACGACCAACCACCGCTGCCTACGCCACCATGTCTTTCACGCGGCTCGCAATGGCACGGTACCTTGGAGTCGGCGCCGGGGTGGTAGTAGAGCACGTTGTCTGGTTTTAGGTCGCGGTGCGTGACCCCCACACCGTGCAGGTACCGCACGCCGTCCAGCACCATGCGCAGCACGCGCGCCGCGTCCCACTCGCCGAACACGCCGCGCGACTGGATCCGGTCGAACAGGTCACCACCGGTGGCCAGCTCCAGCACCAGGTACAGCTTCTCCGGCGACTCGAACACCTGCCGGCCCAGCAGCAGTAGTCCGTACATACACACTGCGCAGCCTTCCAGCCGGTTATACCGAATAGGTAGCTCGTGCATTAATTAAGACCGTGGGGTGAGCCGATTTCATGGTAATACATGGACAAAACAATGCTTGCTGCTTTTATTTCATTGCAATACCTGAATTGGTGCCTGGTTGCCAATGATTTGCGTACCATGAAATGATTATGATTGACGTCACTTGATAACGGAAGTGGCCCGTTTATTTTTGACTTTACTGCATGAAGAAATGATAAATAGACTGATAAACTGTCATCGCATTGCTGCAGGATCGAGGAAGCATATCTTTAAAGGAAATGTTTCATATTTGAACATATGGAAGCGAGCATCAGATACTGTGAAAAAGCTCACTCGTAACTATTGGTATACTTTTGTGTGAAAACTGCTCTTAACAGCACAATTACTCCGTTTAGTAAACATGCCTCTCAATTCGTCATTGTTTCATTACCTCATCGTATCTTGCACAAAATTGATTGAGAGCCAGCTAACGGCCGTTAAATCTGGAAATCGTGCTCACGAACGTCAGATATGAACAACTGAGCAATTTTTTATTGGTCTTGATCGCCGGATAGCCGATGAAATGGCGAAATTTCAGTGACGTTATTATGGCGTCATGGATGTCTGGTTGACTTAAAAATAGTTTCCTCAAAATGGTCTGCGCACTTCGCGGGTGTGTAGCTAAAAAACTAGGGGTGTATAGGTCTTAAAGGGGCAGAGCTGTGAACTGTGCCGAATGATCTTTAAGATGGCTATTTCAGTTCAAAACCCTATATAAATGTGAAACACTCCCTTCAATGCAGGTAACAAAGCTGATAGGGCAGGGGCGGGTGGGTGGATATGATAGCACACAATGCGTCAGGCGGCCAGTGCTCGAATGCGCTCATGCTGTCCAAACTGGTTATTGGCAGACTTGCCTTACCTGATGGAGGAAAGGAACTTGTTTGAACAATGGAAGAACGGTGTCGCAGTTTGCGATGTCATTCAAACAACTGTTAAAAACGCAGCCTTACGCCACCAGGCTCATTGCATGCCTGACTAAGCATGCTGACGCACAACTGCAACGGACGTTCAAGGTTCGCCACGGTGATGGAATGAATATGTAGCATTGGGTTGGCCAATGCTAAAGCGCGAATTCGTGAAAAATCGACGTTTGTCTTGCTGTTGCTGAAGGTATGATAATATTTGACTTCTGACTATCAGCTGTAAGAAAGACACTCTGATGTGACTAAGAGCGAAGGTATATGTTTCTAAGTTCAAAACGTTGTTTTTGATATGGGACTTTTGCCTTTAGAGCTCGATCTATGAATGGAAGAAAACATAGTGTTCAGCATCCAGTCCCATACATTACCGTATATTAAGCCCATTTGCCCCACCTGCTGTCCTTTTTACAACATTTGGCACAACGTAACCTACCTAACCTACCTCATTTGGCACGTAGCAGGGAGGCACACAGGCATTTACAACCTTTCTTAATTAATGTTTCTCCAGTCCAGGTAAACGCAAGCTAGCAAATGGGGGCTGCACGAGGATCATGCCTTCTTGCATTGACACGCAAAAGCAATCCTCAGGTCGTTTTAATTCGCTCGGGTCATACACCTTGTTAAGGTTTCCTAGCGCTTCTCAACTTTTCACCCGATGATGTCCTGATTTGTGGCCGGCCAGTGCCCTAATCCGTGCATTAGTGGGCCTGCGCAGGGCCCTATAGTGCACAGCCATTGCGCCATCTATAAGTGCACCGTTTAGTCAGTCACTAGCAGTGCACAATATCCCGATGCATCAAGTACTTTGAAGTGCTTCAAAGGGCGCAAAGACTGCGTGCGTCGATTATCAGAGGGTTACTGCTCAGTAATTGTCTGTACGTCTCCACCTAAACATTCCTATTTCACCACATTATTTATTCCGGATGGTTTGCGTGAGTGCTTTTGTGTTCAGACCATCTGAAAAAACAAAGGGTGTTACGTGCACTCCAAAACCACCAGACAAGTCGTCTCACTTAGTTCAACGGACAATTTCGCTTCAGCTCTTACGTAAGGTTTTTTTTACGTGGCCCACATCGCTCTGACAACGCCCCGAGCCCTGATTGGCCTCGTTACCTAGCTGCTAGCTGATTTTGGTATGTCGATCGGGCCAAGCTGATTCTGATATTTGATTATACCATATCTGAGATCTAATGTTATGTTTTCTATCGAACAGCGACGAAGATTAAACGAAAAGCGTAACTCGACCAAACCGATTCCGGTTTATCGTACGACAACGACTGATACGTAGCCAACAAACATTGTCGAATCTCAAAACCTGTCCAAGCCAACAAACAACCGATTCCACGACGATGCATGCATCGTCTACATCATCAACAGGCTATGCTCCACGCTGCCTTGTACGACCGGCTCGGCTCGCTCTTCATCAGACCCGTCACCTTTCCAACAGCAGTCACCCACCAACTTCAGTGAGCCGCTACATCAGTTGGTCACCGGTCACCCAAACATCCGGCCAATGGTACCTTAGCTGAACTCAATGCTTCATACTCTGCGTGAGCGAAAGCTTTACATTATGTACGTCACTGAGACGTGGCTATCAGATCCTTCACGAACAGAATGCTGCTGTTTTCCGGTTAAAGAATAGCGCATAGGGACCGCTCCGGTGCAACCCGGGACAGTGATGCCATCCTATGCCGGGAAAACCTCGCCGTGAGCGTCCCTCCAATTGAAGCAGACGGTGCTTGTGTGTCGCTCTGGGTGTTGATCTCGGACGGCGGGCATCGCTGTGTTACTGCGGGTGTCTGGACAATTTATGTAACCAACTGCATGCTGCTGTGAGCCTGGGCAAGTCGACCTTCTGCCTGGGGACGCAAATATTGCAAGAGCCCTTTGCAGTTGGTGAAGATGTTGGATGCTACTACTGAAAGTAGTCTCTCCCTGGATATGCACAGGTCCCATGTTGTAACTCCATCCTTTTATGTTGACATAAAACCGTTACCACCTTACGCCCAAAGCCTGCGAACCTCTCATCGAGTCTCATGTCTTCCCTCATCCTCTGCACAGGCTCTCGGTCTTGGTGGAGCTACAGCTTATGACCTAAACCGAGTGTGTGGGGTGGTAAACTTTGGGGACATTACCGTCACCGATAGCCGTCGGCGAGATTCAATAACGGCGACTGTCCCAGCGCTGGGCTGTCGCGGTGTTAGTGACCTTGCCACCCACCGTGACGGGCTCGCTGTATTCAGGGTCCTTGAACTCGCGGGCGCCGGTGTAGATCCGGACCCTGTTCACCCCACGTACCGCTGAATGTCAGCTTGCCACCCGGGCGGCAGTGGCGGGCGCCCTTGGTCTGTCAGTTCTCCGCCTGTCGGTGGCACGCAGGGCTTTTTCGTATCACGCAGCCTTATCCTGGAGCCGCCTGTTTTGACCTCATTTGACCCGAATGTCACGGCATAAGGACATAAAATTTTGACACAAATCGATTCACGTGCTGGTCTGCCTACCTTGTGAGTTTAGTATCTGTAGGCTACCCCTACTTTTGGAGATCTCAGGGGGTGAACCCCCATTTCACTCCACCCACCGGTGGGTCGCATTCCATCGGCCACTCGGATGCGTGCTAGTACTTGCTGAGACCTAATACCTAGTTAACACTTGCATCAAGGCTAGGGGCGTCAGTCAATACCAGCTACAGGAGAGTCGCGTGTCGCAGTTTGCACCGTGTGACCCGTCGTCACCTCTATCAGCCAGATGACGCCCGGGTAGCGCAGACTGCGCCGTTTACCCACCTCTATCAGCTGGATGACGTTCGGGTGGCGTAGCTTGCGCAGGATGCGCAGCTCCGAGTCGAACGTCTGTCGGCCGGCGCCGCGGCCGGCGGCCACCTCGATCATCTTGATGGCGGCCGGCCGGCGCGTGACGCGGCTCTCCGCCCGCACCACGCGGCTGTAGGTGCCTCGGCCCACCAGCGCCTTCACCTCGTACTTGGCCACCACACGCGGGTCGTAGCGCGTGCGGAAGCGCCCCTGCGTGCCGGCCCGCTCCTGCTTGAGCCGCTCGACCAGGTTGCGTGCCGGCGGGAGTCGGCCGGGCTCCGGTGGCTGCGCCGGCGGCAGCGGTGCCGCTCCGCCCCCCGCCGCGGGGATGAACCGCGGCGGTGCGCGCGACGAGCCTACGTTGAATGTACGGGACCGACCGCCCAGGAAGAAGTTTTTCGAGCGCATGGTCGGGCGACAGCCGGAGGTGCCGCGGTCGCCGGCTGATCGTGGCCAAGGCGCGCGCCTCCACGCGAAGTTTCACGACACCTGCAGAGGTCTCTTCGGATGGCAGACCGTGAGTTTCGCTGAGTTCTGCTACTTTCCCTGCGCTCTCATCACTTACACTTCGCAATGTCAACCATTAACAAGGAAAAACACAAAAATGATATCATGTGATGATGAAATAAATAGCTATTGCAAAATACGCACAACACCGCTGAATCGCCGCAGATTACGCACCACACCACACCAACGCACCACACCGCTAAATTTCGCCGATCGAGAATATCCAAGGTCCCGCAGACTTCGTGCAGTAGTTGTGCGGCGACCACAGGTCTCTGGCACTCTCCTCAGTCCAGCTGTCGTCACCGCCCGCTGTCCAGCTGAGCTTCAATGGGAGCGACAGCTCACAGCTGCCGCTGCGGATGGAGGCTGTTGCCAGCCGGTCGCCTCGACGCCGTCCCTCCGTCCTGCCGGCGCTGGCCGCCGCGCCCGGCCCAGCCGTGTTGTCGTATTTCCAAGGCGCTGCGCTCGGACCGTATCGACTTGCCGGTTCGGGTCGCCGCGGGAAACGGCCGTGGCGGGCGCTGCCGGGCCGGGTCGGGCCGCCCTCCAGTGACGCGGCGCCGGCCGGCCCACCGCGCCATGTATGGCCAACTGCTCGGCACTGGCCCTGCGCCAGTCCGCCGGCCGTGCCGTGCCGTGGTGGCCGGCGCCGTGGGCGGATGGGTGCGCCAGAGGGACGGGTGGGGGGACGCAGTCAGCTGGATCCTGCTGTGGAGAGTTGGGAGGTCACGTGGTGAAAGGGAATCGAGAGACCAGACGGCCCGTATGGAGAGATGCAGTCCTCAAATGGGTGGATGCGCGAAAGAGTGGTCTGTGTTTGCGGCAGTCAGCCAGTCTGACAGACGCCCGATGTAAATTGACGACTCAGAATGGCTTTAAGGGCGCATTCCGCTCCCTGCTGCTGCGATGCCGCAACTCAGCAAATATGACCGAAACCTTGAGTAATAAAGAACTAATGCCTTCAGCCATAAGCACCAATGCTTGTTTTCACACTTAAGGATATAATCAGGACGCCACGACGCGACCACCTCTGCTGATCCCGCACAAAACCTTGCCAGCACGATTCCCAGTCCGCATCCATCTGTAAGGCCGACGTAGCAACAACCAAGCGCCCAAGAGTGGCGCATGCTTCACAGGCCCTGGAAACCTGGAATGCTCCAGATAGGAGACTAGAGACGCTATGTCGCCAGAATTTCTGAGAAGTGAAACTGTTTTTTAACAATTCCAGAATGTTCGCTGAAGTAGAGTGAACCTTTGGTCGCGGCCTTTTCTGCCGTAAAACCAAGTTTCTGGTACCTGGATCCAGATGTTTCTTACGCGATTATTTTGCTCTGGCTCCTGGTTCTCATAGGTTCTTTCATAGACATCAGACATTATATTGCATCCTATTCGCTATTTGACAAACACCGGTGCCCAGGGGTGTCAATTTTTGTAAATTATTGGGGGGCCCGAACCGAAGGCCCGACAGCCTACCCATACTGCCGGGCCCATTTTTTCTCACCGGATTTAGCCCTCTTTATTTTGATTAAACGCACTATATGCTCTTAATCTTTGTATAATTTATTTTAAAAATTAATTTCAGCAGTATAGAGGTCATGCAGCGTTGTATCCAGGGAGCAGGCACTGGACGCACGCGTCCCTTCTGATCGGCACGTGAAGGCGCCCCTTAAGAGGACGCCTTAGGGCGCTGATGGCGCTCCTCTATAGCGGTCGTGGAAGGCGGCACGCATTTTGCTTGTGAGGGACGGGGACGGGGTTAGCAATGAAGGGCTTAAGTCATCGCCATATCCCAGAGCTTTTCATTTTAACCTCACAAACCATTGCGTGTCCTATGGCGCTAGGTATGTGGAGTTTATTGCATTGTTTATTCGCCCAGGTGCTACGGTTTGTATCTTGTGATGAGAGCAGCCATGACTTCGTGTTATGAGAGTGGTACAAGACGCTACTTCGCGGAAAGACCAGAGAAGACAGTCTTTGCGCGATGATCATCATTGGCCCACGTTTCTTGTAGTATTCTAGCCCAAAACATTGAGAAGCCAAGCCAACATCGGGGGGCCCAACTCAGCTTTGGCGGGGGAGGTGGGCAGGGCCCTCACGAAAGAATACAAATACCGGTACCGACACCCGTACCGGTACCTGGTTCTTTATCACAAACACCGGACTCCCCTTTTTGGTTCCTATTGATTCTTTCACGTGTGCCAGACCATTGATCTTACCTTCCATCGGCTGTTTTGCAATGAAAAGACCTTGCTTTCTGGCCCCAATTAGCTATTTATGGAAAAAGGTCGGGTTTCCTGGTTCTTATTGGTTGAACTGCACAACGTGATCACAATTGTATTCATTTCATAGCACCCGATCCGGAGACCCTCATGCCAGAGACTCCCCGGAGGCCCCTCATCTCAACCTCGTCGACTCGGAGGAGCTCCAGAAGGATACACCAGACATCGGCCCTCTCCCTGACGGAGGGCGTGACCGGAACAGATGACCCGAATCGACACACAGGCCCTTTCTGACGTGGAGAGGTCCCTTAACGGCACATCGGGTCCAATGCCCCTGGTCGACACGGGCGGATAATTTTGTTACTAGACACTCGGACTGTCACAGAGTCCTTCCACTGCCTCGTGGCGAACCCTCTCTCACTGTCATTTATCATATTTCCTTTTATAGTCAAATGGTGTCGATCAACGCAAGATCTCCCCCGGCATTCCGGCCGTCCTTGTTCTTGTTCAGCAAATGAGCCCATGGCCGACTCGGAGCCCGATGCCAACACAGGATCCCGCGTTAGGTGCTGTCACTTCCTGGCCGACAAGGAGGTAGGAACCATTCGTGGCACGGAACCCTGCACTTCCAAATAAGCTCACATGTCAAGGGCTACCGCCGAGCCATCTTGCAGGAGTCCTGCGATATATTGGAATAAATGTACATGCATTTTTAGCGTTCGACTGGAGCATTTTAAAACAGGCGTACGGATGCGTAAATCGGTTAATGCGCAAAACCAAGAAGAGCCAACTTTTTATGGAAAAGAGACCCCCGAAACATTGACCACATTTCCTTAAATTACTTCTTCCACACGTTGCACACACGTTGCCGAGGAGTTAAAACATGTTACACAAGTGCAACATATTACAAAGAGCAATGCAACACACGACGGCGAAATAAGGCGGATCAAAAAGGCGCGTAGAATGGAAGAGGTCCTACCAATGAATTATTTTGAATGAAAACTTTCGGAGACAATTACAATACAACGGGGTAACTTGCATGAAATGAAATATAACGTAACTTGTGGCTGCGTACAAAAACAATTTGATTCAAATACAGCAACGGCGCGACGGATTCATAATACCACTCTGCACAAGAACGCTGCATCAATGAAGGGGAGTTCGGTTCGGGTGGCGTTGGTTCGAGTGCGGTTGTGTGGGATAGATATTGACTATTTTCCATCTAATCTGCCATTTTTCAGTCAGTACTTCGCAAAGATAGGTAATTCAACATCCTGGAAGCACTTATGAGTGTGTGACGCACCTGCCGATAGCAATGTTGGATGTACTATAATCAACCACTATATGCATTTATTTACATCCGGAGATCAATCACCGTCAGCGATGTACTTCGGAAACGCACAAAGGCTACCAGTGTGTTCGGAATAGGTGAAAATGTGCAATGTCATTGGGATGACTATCGAAAATAATATATCTGATTCTTTGCTACTTGCTCCAGTCTTCAAGGGGAACCCAGGGCTGCATCCTATTTTGTGTGGTTTTGAACCCTGGTGTTGGTTTTTTACTTTCCAGGTTTTTGCTTGGATGTAGCAAAAATTTAAATAGTATTATGTTCTTTGAAGCATACCTTTATTGAAAACTCCTTAGTGGATGTAATAATTGCTGCTCATATGAGTAGCCACTTGACAAATGATATAAGAAATTATAAAAAATTAAGCTGTCAAAAAGGCAGGCTTAACCTGCTAATAAAATGGGAAAGCTTATGTAGGTATACCCTTAGTTCATATCCCAACTATTTACACAAATTGATGCACCTGGCTCCATAAATGTGAGTTCCGTGGTAGTCAGACTGCATTTGCTGTATGTTCATAAGGGCAGGAAAACTGACCTTTAGCCTGTTGGCATGTTGGCACATATAAGATGATGTTAGCCATACTATGGTGAACAACCTAGATCTTGACAACTGTATTTAAAATGGATTGGTAACTAAATAATGAATGCTTATTAGTGAACTGGATTAGGCATAGCTAATGCTAATGTTATGTAAACAGTGTCCTGTCCATAAGACATATCAACAGAGGTATTTAAGATCAACTTATGTGCTACTCTGCTGCTTACTCATATAGGAGATAGATTTCAGT